TTTTAATTATCAGTGTCTTCACAATGGCTGTGAGATTTATTCTGCAAAGAAGATAGGGCCACAAACACATGATGCTTCTGCCATGCTGGAAGCACATTGAATACTTGCCACTTTCCCCTTCAAAAGGCATAAGTCTTTTATACACACACAAAAAAATAGAAAAGTAAAAAGTTAAACTACAGAATAGACTTTGCAAGTGTTTTCATGCTTGCCACTCATCATCAGGGCTCAAAGCATAAGCAAGTCAGAAAACAACTGGAGGTACTTAAAGCAAGTTGAAATAATCGTCTGAGTAGAGCTTAAAGTGTGAGGTTTGAGTAGGAAGACGGAGTTTGAGCCAACTGCTGTTGCCTTTCTGGGGAGGCTTTGCTCAGAGGTGTTTACTTCCTCATGCCTTCATGGAGATGTGGCAGTCTATGAAAGCACTCCTCCTGGAGTTAGATGAAAATGGTTTAAAAAAAAAAAAAAAAGAAGAAGGGGGATGTTCTAGGTCGTGTCATAACAAGGAAAAGCTTAAAAAAGCTCACCCAAATATTCACCAAAGGTAAGTCATGCTGTACGCTTAGGAAAAGAGTGGAGAATATCAAGGCATGGGTTTTCTGACTTGCTGAAAGAGAAAATCATTACCAGAGCACCCAAAAATACCACTTCACCATCTCAGAGAGGAGGCACTTGAGTCTGGATTTATATATGGAAGGCCTCCTGCCGCAGGGATGTGGATGGAGGCTGGCTTTGGGCCAGGGGGTCCTGTGGAGTTCATATACACTGACTGACACATCTGTACCCATGGCAGGCAAATCCAGGAGGAAGGGACAAGGGGACCTTCTACTGGTCAGTAGGAACCTGGGAATGAAGGAGCATCCAAGATGGGAAAAGCACTGTCACACTTGTGTGACCTATATATCCTGTCAGCAAGAGGATATATAGATCAAAATAAAACGGGTACATTTAAACAAGCTGATGACTTTAGTGTTAACATGTGATTTCTGAATAACTACCGAAGCACCAGGCAGGAAACTGTGTGGTTTTGAAAATATCTATTGAAGGCGTTCTGCATGTTCACTGGAGTGACTCCATCTTCAGTTAAGAAAGCAGAAAAGAGTGGGCTGATCCTCGGAGCAGGGGGAAGCCCTGCCCACATCTGAGCCTGCAGTCTGGGCTCTCATGAGTAGGTTACTACAAGAAAACCATCAGCTGGGAATAGACAGGACACTCAGGAGAACCTTGGTAAGCAAATTACATCAACCCCAAACGATGAAGACATGACTGAGACCCAGTTCCTCTGTGCACCAGTTCTGAATGGGAGGGATAAGCTGGAAAATTTCCTTTGAAATTCTGTCCCCTACAGGCTCAAAGCAGCTACAGTATTAGAGAGACTTTAAAAAATGTCATTATATATTTAATTAACTCAGAAATTTGTATTCCTCAGTTAGTGGCTCCTAGCACATGCAGTACTGCAGCCTGAACAGAGGTTGCCAAGACCTTTGCCACCCCCGAGAGTTACAAGAGTCTAAAAGCACATGGAGATGACTGGGAAGAGACACACCACAGATGGCAGCGACTGAAGAGTGACTTCTTTGTCCATTGCTGCTGTCCGAGGCACTCAGTGGTGCTCCAGCCATGTTCAGTGCAGGGCTCTGGAAAGCTGAGTCATCTCCCAATACCAAGCACATTGTTGTTACATGCTCTGTTAGTGGTGCTTTGATACTGGTGCTTTTCTAACCCAGCCTTTGCCGAGGAGTCAGCTGAAAGGCTTGGGACAGTGGCAAAGGCAGGGGGAGTTTTTGTGCCCTTGGATACTGGAAGAGCTCCAACCTGTCCTGACAGTAAGAATCGTCCTCCCCAGTGCTTGCCAAGGGAGATGTAAAAATGAGTCAGTGGTCCAGCCCACTCCCAAGTCCTACTTGACCAAAGCTGATTGTGGTGAGTTGTGTCCTGTTGGTTCCCTTCTACCACATGCTTGGACAGAGGGGATAAAGCCATGCTGTACCACATCATCTCACCAAAATGCACAGAGGGGAGGTGTTGACAGCTCCACAAGGGACCTCTCTGCAAAATTTCTCTGAATTATTTAGTAGTTATAGAAGGTTTCAGTGCTTTACACAACATCTTAAGAAGCAGGTTAGCCATATCCTGACAGAAAATCCACCATCCTCCACACAGGCAGGTGGTGGGTTTAGCCCTTTGTGAGCTCTCAGAAGCACCAGAGGACACGCACAGCAAAGTCTGAGGTTTGCATTTGCTGTAGCTGACATACGCTGTTCACTGAAAGAGAATTAGCCTTTTCCTCTGCAAAACTGAGCATTAAGAGCTAGTCCAGCTGGTAGTAGATGGCAGTTAGGCTACTAAAAGCTCAGGTTGCTTATGAAAAATAGGACTTGAGCTCATGAAACGCGCAGGCTGTCTTTCAGCCTGGTTTTTCATTACTTTTCAGTCTCTAACTTGATCTAGTATTAGAGCTGAGATGCAGCTGGCCTGGGATTACCCATTAAAATAATGAAAAAACCTGTAAGACAACAATTTCTTCCAGGCATGCAAAACAGTTGTGTTTGCCCTTACAGAATTGCCTGGGTTTTGTTTCAGGTCCTGGCTTTGTAGATAAAGGAATGTGAGAACATAACGAGCACATCAGCTTTATACTGAGTTCAGATTAAGCACAGCAGCCATTTAGTCAGAAAGAAAGAAACATATGGGGTCAAAGTGACGTTATCTCACGTGGCACTGAAGGGAAATGTCTCTTCAGATTATCACAAGAGGCTGGGCACTTTCTAAAACACACCCGGGTGTGTGGATGTGCCACATGGGAAAATTGTAAAAAAATTCTGTGCCAGTAAATCCTCTGCTAAATTCCCTTTGCAGAAGTTGATATAAACAAAAGTTATGATGAACAAAAGGGGAGTACACAAGCCTGCTTGGCAACTGTGGGTCTTACAAATGGTGTGTCTGAAGTGTTTCTGTGGAGGCAGCTTGCTTGATTTTTCTCCCAGCTCTCACAAGATTCAGCACTTTTGCAGGTCTTGGAACCATGTGTCCATATATGACTTTTAGCTCTTATTTTAAAATAAACAACTGGAAGTCATAGCCTAAGGAAAGCAATAGAATATGATCCCTGAGAAGGTTAAAAAAACTGAAGTTAAATTCAGATGACCTGAGGGTGGAGGTGATGGGACTGGTGAGGTTCCAGGTCAAAGAGACAATCCATCCAGTGTGAGGAAGGCTCTCCAACCCCTCAGCTCCACTCCAGCCTTGCTGCAGCCTTGCCAGAAGTAAAATTTTGGAAATGTGGGTGACAGCTTAGATTACACATTGCTAGAAACAGCCAGGATAATCTGCCGCCAGCTCCCTAAAAGGAAATCTTTAGCTAACAAACGTGCTCCAGCCTTTTGAGCTGGCAGATAATGATGGAACAGTGGATAAAACATAGCTGGATACCAGGGAAGAGGTGTTTCACCAGGCCAGAGGAAACAGCGTGGGGCAGGAGAGAGCTGCTCCTGGAGCAGCTTGGCCAGGAAGAGGAGGAAGGTGGAGGGTCAGGTTTCTTGGTGTTGCAGTGTGCCACGCTGCAGCCCTGGCACTGCAGCTGTGCCAGTGCCCTGCTCTCAGGGACAGCCAGCACAGCTTGATGGGCTTTGTGCTCCTCATCAGGGGCTTCATCGTGCTCATCTCCATGTCCCTCCCGTGACACTGCAGCACATGGCTTTGCTAGACAGATCCAGCAGTGGGTCAAAGAAAAGCATCAGCTTCCTTGTTTAGAGAAAAACTCTGCATGCCCTTCTCGAGGGCAAACAGCATCTCCATGATTTCCAGGCAGCTCTGTCCCATCTTAGGCTGTGAGATTTCCAAGCCAGGGAAATGCTGAGGTTTTAGATCCCTTGGCATCCCAGCATCCTGGGAAGGTGTCCCATGGTGCTGCAATGCAAATCCATCCAATGCTGCTGCTGCTGCCATCACTACTAGTGACACAGGACAAGCAATACTGTGTTTCTTCCGAGGGTAGGAACCTTGTGGGCATGGATTTTGCTCCTGCTGAGATAGTCTCTGTTTGGAGCAGCATGTCTCAGTTCATGGAGACTTCTCCTGCTGTGACATTTAGAATAAGTTCTGCAGAAACCTTTCTGGTATGGTAAAAACAATAATAATGAAATGGCAAGACCCAGAAAGTGTACACACAGTGGAAACCAAATTTGGAATGATTTAGGTGTTTCAGGCTTTTTTTGGAGCAGTAAGCAGCTAGTGCAGCTCACCACATGCTCGCACAACCCAAGAGCTTGAAGTCAGCTTGAATGAGTGATTCATTATTCCGCACACGCTCCGGCTCCTCCGCCACTCCAGCCTGTACCCAGCTGGATCTCAGGAGAAATTCCTAGAGTGTGTAATTTTGTATAATGTGATCATCCTGCAGCAGGAAATAGGTTTGTAAGCATTCGTAGCCAGTACAATCGATGTCATACAGATATGGTCTGCAAGGAAACAAAGTGGAGATACATATTGCAGCGAGCCACTGGAGAGCCAAGGCAGCCTCTGGGAAGGACACGTTCAGCAGGGAATGCATTTAAGCCAGACAAGTCACGGTACGCGTAGTACTTCATTTAAAAACGTCCCAGCGTGACCGTGCTCAGAGGGAGGGGGAGATGCCGACCTGCGAGCCCCCAGCTGCAAGGCCAGATGTGGGGGACACCCCGCAGGACCAGGCTGGAGGACGGAGCCCGGCGGGGCTCCTGTGGTTTAGCTGCAGCCTCGTCCCGCAGCTCGGCTGTGGCCGTAGGGACCTGCAGGGACCTGTAGGGACCTGCAGGGACCTGCAGGACCTGGCAGAGCGGGGTGGGGGCTCGCAGGCTCCCAGCAAAGCGGGCAGCCCCTCCCGGGGCAGCGCAGGCTGAGCCCGCAGCACCCTCTAGAGGAACGCGGCCAGCCAGCCCTGGGCTGCAGGGAGGGTTTGGATCCGCTGCAAACCATCTCTCCAGCAAGGCTTTTTATATGTATTTTTTTTTTCCCCTTAGGTGTGTTTTATCCATCGCCGTGCACCAGCGCAATATCGGGCCCCAGCACTGCAGCACCACCTTCCCGTGGTCCTTCCTGGTGCTGGAGGGGATGGAGGTGAGCAGCACCATGGAGAAATCCTCCAAGGTCTTACCTGGCAGGGCTCCAGGCGTGTCCCCAGCTGCAGTCAGCATTGTTTTGGTGGCAGGTTTAACCCAAAGTGGAAGCACAGGTGTGGAGATGAGCGTGTCACTCACAACATGAGGTCCCTGTAAGATGCAGCTCAGTTTAGCCCAGGAGCTGCAGGCACGGCCTCCCCCAGCCATGGCTCTGCTTGCCCCCACACACCTGGACAGAACAGCTGCCAGGCCAAGAAGAGTCAGGTGGATTGTTACCTAAGAGTGACCTGTCTCTGGAAAGTGTGGATTAGGTGGATTGTTACCTAAAAGTGACCTTGGGGCTGCTGCAATGTGGCCCCAGCACAGCCTAAATTCCTACATGTGATTAAACACCCAGGTTACATCTGCATTACTCTTTCCAGCCAGGATGTGCTGGCCAACACACAGTCCTAAAAGATATGTGGGGATTATCCAGGATTCCCTGTGTGTGAGACAGGAGACACCCATGGAAAAACATCCTGTAAGTGCTGTGCTGGTCTGTGGCTGCAGCTGTGGCCTGTGGCTATGGCTGTCTTTATTTCTGCAGTTTCCTTGTTCCATATCTGATACTGGTCAAAGTGGAGCTTTTCTGTATAAAGAAAAACATAAACTGCACTTTCAATTACTTCCATATACAGTACCTACTTCACATTTCTGCAGTTACAGTCCTTTTATATTTTAGTTCATAAATTATGTACCTATTTTAAGAGGAAGAATGTCTGAAATGTGAAAACCTAAAATGTAAAAAAACCCAGAAATCAAAAAAAACACCACACAACCCAAAGTCTCCAAACTATTTTTCAAGTTGAAATTCAAAAATGCTGGGCAAGGAGCCCGAGTCCTCTCCTGAAGGACCCCGTTTCTGTCTTGGATGCACAACGTGCAGGTTCCAGCCTGTGAGTCTGCTGGGCTTGGCTGGGCCCTTTAATGTGCATTTGTCTGATAAAGAATGGAATAAGGAAAATAAGCCAGTGAAGAGAGTAGAAACACTTTTCTGCCTGTTTAGTGAAAGGAGCAAGGATGAATTGGATAAATGCCAAAGGCAGGACACCAGCAGCAGGATAGAGCCATGAGATGGGACAGAGGTATGGAGCACCTCTGCTATAAGGCTGAAAATTGGGATTGTTCAGCCTGGAAAGGAGAAGGCTTTGGAGTCACCTAATTATAGCATTTCAGTACCTGAAAAGGAAGCCTGCAAGAAAGATGGAGAGAAACTTTTTTAAAGGGCCTGGAGTTACAGGACAAGGGGAAATCACTTCTAAATGAGAAGGGAAAAATTCTTCCTCTTGTGTGGGGTTGAGGCCCTGGCACAGGGTGTCCAGAGAAGCTGTGGCTGCCCCATCCCTGGAAGGCCAGGCTGGATGGGCTTGGAGTGACCTGGGATAGTGGAAGGTATCCCTGCCTAGGGTAGGGGTGGAACAAAATGAGCTTTAAGGTCCATTCCAACCCAAATCATTCTGTGATTCTCCTATTGGTATCTCCCTGGGTGACAGCCCAGCCTGCCTGTCCCCTCCCTCCCAGGTGGCCTCAGCTCTCCCATTCCAGGCTGGATCCAGAGCAAGAGAGCAGCTGGAGACACTGGAGCAGCCTTGTGTGTGCCTGCTGTAAGCTGTGCTTGGCCCTGGGCTGGAGAGGCGGGTCCAGCTCTTACCTGAACTTCCCTTGTGGCCACATCACCTTCAGGGCCCTCAGCTTCCAGTGGGTGACCTCCAGCCCACCTGCCCCAGCAGGACTCCAGCTGAACCCCAACCCTTGGTCCAGGGCAGGTTTCCCAGGCAGATATTCCCTACAGACAGGCCACCTGCTGGGCCCTGAGTAGGGGACAGACACCTGTGAAGCCTTATTAACACTACCTGTCCCCCTATCCTTTGTCATCACATAGAAACTCACAGAATATTTAATTATTGAGATCAGGCTGAATATGGAGCGATTACTCATCTCAGATTCTGGGGATAAACAGTTTCCTTAGCAGAATAATTTCTTTTTAACAACTCCTCCTCTCCTTTTCTCCAAATTAATTTCCATCCCAGCCATGAGCCTCTGTAGAAAATCTTGTCATAATCATTTTGAGCTAAATATTCTGTCTAATCAATCAAAGCAGTGGAACCAATTTTGAAGCTGTCACTTTTAATTTTTCCAATAAGAAAAAAATCGGGCATTTTATTCACAGTGCTGTTGTGATTCAAGCTCTTCAAACCTTTGCTCCACTGCATCAGCGCTTCAGAGCTGTACTTGAAAATGTGAAGAGCCGGCACAATTGCAGAGAAACTAAAATAAATTGATTTTTAGCAGTGAGAAGAAACCTGTTTCTTCATGTACCCTTAGACCTGGCTCACAAAATCTTTTTTCCTTTCTTCCCTGTTTTCCTCTTCAGACCAAAAATAACTACAGCATATTGATGATTTCATGCATGCAAAGGGCTGGCACTCATTAAAATTGATGTTATTGAGAGCTTGGTTCATAAATGCCAACAAAGGGCCAGAGAGCAGATGTGCTGGGTGCTGGGGTGGATGAGAGGATTCCTCCTGCCCCTGGCACGGGGTTCCTGTGGACACATCCACGATGGAGGAGCTGACCTGTGGGAGGAGGCAGGAACAGCCTCGGCACAAAAAATGGCTGGAGAAATCCATCCTGGGAAGAACAGGTTGTTACACACTCTGGCAAGGGCACTTTGTGTACAGGGTAGGCGTGGGCTGCTCAGCCAGGAGCCATCAAATTGAGGCTTTGCAAAGCCTCCAGCCAGCAAACAGGAACATTCTGGTCGGGGGAATGTCAGGGGGAGTTTTGCCATCGCGTTCCTGCCTCCCTGCACAGTCAGTGCCAGCCACAGCCATAGGCTGGCATTCACTTCTGCTTTTAGAGATGGATGTGAATGAAGTCAGGTCCTGTAGGAGAGGGCAAACAGCAAAAACAGCAACAGTGTCCTCGAGTTGGGCCCCTACTTGAACCTGCCAGCTACTGAGGAAAATGAACACTATGTAGAAAAGGGAAGGGATCCTTCCTACAAACCCATACCCGAACTCCCTAGGTTCAGGACCACTTCCAGTTTCACATTAACTTCACATCAATACAATCTCAACTGTGATCCCACAACTCTCCTGCTGCTGGCAGGGGAACCAAGCAAGGCCAGCAGGACACCTTCAGCCTCAGCTTGGCTGCCCTGTGTGACCCCACAGCCACCCTGCTGCCACCCAGCACCCCTGGGCTCAGTACCTGCAGTGACTGTCAGGCTCCACATCTCTCCTGCTTGCTGGATCTCCTCCTCAGGAGCCCAGGTGGGATTCAGCAGGCATTGAATCAGCAGGGGGATGCTGGAGTGGCAGCAGAAGCTGACAGTGTCACTCCTGAGTGGCTCTGATGTCAGTCCTGATGTCTCTTACCAAGCCCTGCCTCACCCTCTGGCTCTGTTGTCTTGGTTTATTGTGTCTGTCGAGGACACAGATTGGAAGTTCTGAAGATGTAGAGAGCCCTCTGGCATCTGAGGAAGGAGATGAGACCTAAGAAATGGAGAAGTTAATATGTTTTCAGTTTGCAAGAGAGCTTGGAAATGCCACTGATGCTTTATTAATCTCTTCTGCCCCTGGAGGACAACAGGCAGCTGCTTCTTCCTCTCTCTCCGCTGAATTTCCTTTACTGGAAAGTTAAAAGAGACAGGGGCAAGTTAATTTTATTTTGGAGACAAAGCATTTTTGTCTATGCCTTTCATAATGCTTTTGGATTATTAAAACTCCTTTAAAACACAACTTTTTAATCTATTTAAGAAGTCCAATTTTCTTTCTATGCTGTTTCACCCCAGCAATTTCTTTCTCCCAGGAAAACTTAAATGACTCAAGTCTATCCATTTTTATTGTTATTCTGGGCCTTTCCCCCTCACATCTTGGCTGCTGATACAGAGTAAGGACAGAACTCATCCCAAGGCAGGGTGAGGCCCCCAAACCAAGGAGAAACGACACCAAAGCCAAACGTTCTGACATGATCGGTTGTATTTTCAGTCCATTAATACACATTCATTTACCAAATACAAACAGAGTGGAAAGGAAAGCCATCGTTAGCAGGAACAAAGACACAAGACTGAAATCCAGCAGCCTTCACAGAAGGGATATTCAGTATCACAGCAGCACTGTCAAGGGAGGGACGCACAGAGACCTGCGCTCACACCCCAAGTGGAAGCTCTCCTTTTGTGGATTAGTTTAGCTAGAAACATAATTTTTTAAAAAACCAAAAAAACAACAAAACATTCCCAAAATGTCGCCGTTCTTTTTTTCATTTCCCTAGTGTCAGGACTAGGGAAAATTGGAATTATTTACATAGAGGAGATTTTATGAAAATACACTGGAAGGTTAAAAATGGAATTATCACAAATACTGGAAAATATAACAAGAAAGCAGGCAGGGAAAGGAAAATAGGGGAAAAAATAGTGACACCCCAAGAAGATCATTGCATTCAGTGGTCGATGTGTGGTTAGTGGGGCTCCACTTTGATGCACTGAGATTCACATACCTTGATTCACTGCCATGAAGTTACACTCTGGGTTTAAAGCAGGATTCTGAAAAGCTCCTGGTTTCAGCAGGATCTTAGCAGTGCTGCAGCCATTGCTTGGTTGAAACCATTTGCAGAGTGAGTGCCATGAGCTGTGACAGTGTGTTCACATCTCGTGGGGCACCCAAGGGGTGCCAAGCTCTGCTCATATCCTGCTCTGGAGACCACTGGTTTTCTTCTCCATTGCCACCACACCATGAAAGGCTCTGCTGCTGGTGAGAGGGGTCAGCTTAGCCCAGCATGGATTTGGGGCTCTGCATGCAGCAGGAGAGGAAAATGACATTATCCTACATTTCTCTCATACTTGTATGGGAGTGTCCCCACAAACGCAGCTCTGTGCCCAGATTTTGCCCTGAATGTGTTCAAGTGTTGTTGCAAGTGTTCAAGGCTTGTTACACTGAAACAACAACAGCACATCTGCACTTGATTGTACAGGGATGCTCCCTCTGGAAGGAAAAAAAGATATTGGAAATTATTAATGGAGAAGTCCCAACTAGGCAACACCTGCACTGAGGTTCTCCCAGGGACAGCACCAGGATTGCAAAATCATGCTGTGAAACTTGATCAAAAGAAAAGAAAATGGAGTGCTTGAGGTTTAATGGAGCACAGCTCACCAAGTCACGGGACAAACTGAGACCAAGAGATCAGATACTGAGCTGATCTCTTTGCCTCTTCCATGAAGCACTGGAGTGGTTCTCTTATAAATTGTTTTTTTAGTACAGTTCTTCTTGCAGACAATGACATTTTATCCCTCATTTTTTAAATCATGCATTAACTTTATAGTGAAACATTTATCCAGTCCAATACCTATACAACGAAACACATATTTTAAAATATCAGACTATTAAAATTTAAGGAAACGAGCGTGAGTTCTCAAAGCAATACCTGTTAAAGAATAAATTAAAGGGAAAATAAGTGTTCTACTTGGGTTGAATTACAAAATAATGTCTGAGCCTGGGAGAAGTTCTCATTTCCTATAGCTTTAACAAATAAATGCCACAAGAAACAGCTGGTGTTTCTGGGGTTGCCAGTGCTCGAATCCACATTACCTGTTCCAGCTCTGGGTATCGTGGGTGACCTGCTCCAGTTTGAGGCCCACGCTGGTATGACAGACTAAGAAGTAGTGATTGTTCAGGTGCACAGATCAACTCTCTCAAGGTGTTAACTTCATGGGCTTCTTAATATAAGAAACAAACGTGAAGCAGACAGGACAGAAGGGGCCAGCTCCAAACAGCACAGCCCGGGGTGTGAATGAGCAGGACCTTCACCGGAGTGGCTCCAGCCCTGCTGTCTGTTTGGAGGGAGCAGTGCTGCTTCCATAGGGAACTTGGTGGCCCCACAAGTTCCTGGAGATGCTGGGATCTCCTCACTGTGCTGAGGCTGCACACCCTGCTTGTATTTGAATGTTTCTAAATTCCTGGTGTCAGGAATTTAGCAGCAACACAAGGTAGGGATGGTCAGTGCAGTGCCTCTTGTTCCCACAGAGGGAAACCTCCTCCCAAGACAGAGAGCCAACACCAGGCCTGTCTGCTACCTCAACAATGAAAGACCTTCTTAATTAGCACCTTTTCATACCAAATCAGTCAATTACATCTCCCTCCATGGCTCTGCTGTGTCACTGGGGACCAGCAGCTATCACACAGTGGGCTGAGCATTGCAGAACCTGAGTGGTTGTTCCCCAAAGCAGCCTGGCAGAGGGGGAGTTAACACCTCTGGAGTTAGGAAGTCCCAACAATTAGCAACCTCTCATTTTAAAAGACAATGAAGGGATAATTTAACAATTATAAAAACCTTCGCTAATATGAGGATGAGAAGAATAAGAGCACTTAGAAGGTGACAGGAGTGTTGCACTTCAAGGTTCAGTGTGTAGGTGGTGGGGTTGAACATTTTCTGACTCTGAACATGGATCTGTGTGACTGACAAGGATTCTCTGGCAGGCTGTAATTGTTTCAAGTCAGCAGCTTCAGTCAAACTACAACAGCTAAAAACATCAGGAGAGAAAAGCTCTGAACCTGCACTGATGTGAAATCACAGGGCACCTTTGATCTTTCTCCATTGGAAATGGTCAGGGCACACATTGCTTTGGCTCTGTGGGGGGTGACCCCGGGTCAGCTTTTTTAAGGGAACAAAAAATCAAGGGAACATATTTATGTGCTTACAGCATGCCAGGTAAAACCATCAACCCCCTGGACTCCATCACATAAAATGCTGCACATGCACTTTCCAAAGGGGAACCAGACCACAGATGCCAGAAAGGAGGGTAAAAGGCAACATCATCTACAAAACACAGGTATAAAACTCTGGAGGCTGTAGGAATGGGCTGAGATTTGGAAGAACATCTGGGGCTTGTTCCCTACTTGGGTGATGCAGCAAGGACAGAATAAGCTGGTGCCTACTTACAGGTCTGAACACAGAAGGCAATCAGCTAAAAAGTCATACCAGCTACGTTTGGGGGATAACTAGGCAACCAGGGGGATTCTTTTCCAGTTAAAAGCTGTTGGAAAAGCCAGAAAAAAGAATAAACTCTTCTGTGATATAAAATAAATACCAGTTCACTGGGCCTTTTGACCAAGGAGTGTTGGGTACAGGTATAACCCTGGGAAGGGAAGGGATGCCCAGATGCAGGGGCAGCAGAAGAGCTCAGCCTCCCACTCCTCCATATCCAACTCTCCTTAAGTGTTTCCTAATGCTCCATTTCTCCAGCAGCTGACAGCACTGCAGACTGCCAGGAACACCTCAGGTTGGAGCT